GGGCAAGAGTTTCAAGAAGATCTTTGATTGGAAACTGTTATTTTAGAGGAAATTTTTTGATAAATCGTACCAGAGAATCCAGTTTTTGACAATGTCACACTAAAACACTTCTCTCCAAAAAAAGAATGGTATGAATTTGTATCATGCAGTGTATTTGTATGTGTGTCTCTGTGTATGTGTTGGGGGGTGGGGGGGGGGGTGTTAGTCACCGGAATCAGATAATCCATATTAGTACGTATGTTCGTAGTTGCATTATTGCATGGTCATCTGAGCAGGGACGAAACAAATAGATGGTACTGGAGAGATAAGTGGGGGGATGTGACAAAGTCCCCACCATATAAGGTGATTTGCCAACCACTTCATGTTGAATGATTGATTGAAATCCTCTTAGCTGTATCCTATATGGATCTTCTTTTAATTCTTTTGCACTGGTCAAGTACTTGTACCCCTGCAGGGACCAGAAGCTTAACTGCAGGCATTGTCTATCACAATCCACCCACTGTTGGGCCCCCAAAACTTGCCTTTACACATCAAATTTGAGTGTAAAATTTGATAGCAAAGTTTTACAAATTAGTTCTATCGAATAAGATTGATACTTAAACGATCATATATCTTGATCGAGTCATATTGGGCATATAAAACTCAAGTTTTTAATGAATGGATCTCAATTACAAGTGATTACATATATTTGAAATTTTACAGTGTAACTATGAATCTAAAAAATACATGATTAAGATGATTTTTCGTTTGTGAAATAATTGAGAAGAAGGCTAGGAGACACCCCACATTCAAGAAGCATTTTTCAATGAGTAGAAGGACTTTATGAAATTAGGGTTGGCCAAAAGTGAACCAAAAGGAGCAAAGAAAGTTTGGAATCAATCATTTAACTACATCTTCATCATGTTGTGCCATAATGTTTGCATGGAATTCATAAAAACAATAGGAGAGTATCATGTCCTTTGTACACAACACTGACATTCCTCCCCTCCACCATTCAAGATTTGCGAATCTGAAGTTATTACTCAATGCCTGATGTGTACATATATTTTAAAGGACAATACACCAAATCAACCAATTGTGAGATTTTAAGTTGCAATAAAACCCTTTCTTATCTTTCAACATGACTTATCATTAAATCAATATGAGTTGAGGTGAGTTGTAATATGGAGCCTAATACGGAACGGGTACTAAGATTTCAATCTCCTTTTTATCACGGAACAAAAAAAGGATGTAAATGTATATGCTACTCCATGAATTTAGGGGAAAGATCAAATATATGTAGAAAAATGGCATACTTAGTTTATAAGACATCAACCATTAGCTAACTTTAAGATAAATAAGTGATAAACAATTTTATTTTTATTGTTTTTTGAGTTGCCAATATCTTAAATCAAACACGACATATTGTCTGAGGAGATGAACACTTAAACCCGCGATGTATTAATTACTGGAGATTCAATTTTTATCAGCCAAATAGATGTGGTTATCTTTAATGCTTCAATAGTCTGTTTGACCTTAGAAGTACATTGGCTTAATAACACTACATTCACATCCATTAAATACTTCAAAAGATTCATAGTGTAAACTATGCACATCTTTCAAAACATTTGCAAAGTACAGTGATAGATTGACATAATTCAAAGCTTCAAACGTGCATCCTTTAATTGATTAAAGCTCAAGACCAAGTCCCACTTTAACATTTCCATAGCTCTCTCTCTCTCACTCACACACACACACACACAGAGTAATCATCAATGGTACAGTCTTTGATTCAGCTTAAAGAATTCTAAAGCTCTTGTTGAGAGATCTCGAATCCTCAAACTCTTTGGAGCGATATGGGTTTGCTTAGTTTTAGCTTTCCCAAAAGAAGAGCCCATGCCAACCATGAACCAACCCTCACTCTCATATTATTAATTAAAAATTCCCATTTGTAAAAAATTAATGTTATTTAGATTTAAAAATTTAATTTACTGATTTAATGATATGACTTTATTGAAACCATTAAATCAACACTAAATTTTAATATTTGCTGGTTCTATAGTCAATCCAAATATTATAATAAATTAAATTAAAAAATTATGTCAATAAATTAAGTCTCATTATTACCGTGCCACACCAATCAGCTGGCCTCTCATAAAAGGGCACACCATGACACCTGGCAATACCCCATTTGAGATGTTCTTGGGTTCCACATATTCTATTGGGGAGAAAAGGGTACTAAGGAATCTAATCCTTTTTTCTTTATTATAGATGGTTGGTTAATTTTTTTTATTGTCTTTTCCTTTGGACTATTCTCTTGAAGTTGTTTCTTCTACATATACACTCATAGATATAGTAATGATGTTGGGTGATACATCATCATATAAACATCTATTATCGAGTTTAGAAAAATAAATAGTACTTAAGCTATACTCTATTATTGGTAAAAATATTTTTTCAACTCGAACTACCATGTATTACTTCAAAGAAAATAGAGTCGTTCTATTTTCGGGAATATTTTTTGTTTTTTCAAGAACATTGTAAAACCAACCTAATCAATACAAATCATTTTTACCTCTGGCATGACTAATATAATTAATCTTAGGCTTAAGCATAGAGTATTTTAGGATACACAAAGCAAAGAAAGAAAGAGATACCATTATTCTAAAGCTTAGATCTTTGTGATTGCAAGTCCCAAGGCCACCTAATAATGGCATAAGAGAAATGGAGAAATGGACAGTCCATCTACAGCATAAGATAGTAAAAAATTATTAATAACTTCACAATTATGCGTACATTGACTAAAATTTTTTTCGGTCTGATCAAATATAAATCATTCATGTCGGACTAAAATATTCATAAGAAATAATTTTTTTATGATCTAACCCAAAGAGATTGTTAAAATTCAAATTCAGAATATCTAAATTTATAGTTTATTCATATTATCATATGAAGTACCCACTTAGAGTTACAAGATTATATTCTACTTTTGCTTCTTTGTTTATTCATGGATAACCTCTAAGTAATGCTTGAATGCAAGAGGCCATGAGCAACAGTTCAAAAATGTTGGGTCAACTTTGAAAACGTGACTATCAGTGAGGATCCTAACCATTAGATCAGATTACTTTTTCTTGGAGATTTTACACTCATCATAATCAACTGTTGTAATGGAAAGTATCTGCCAGTTTGACTCTTCAAGAATCAAAAAAGTTTTAAAATCTGGAACATTCTTAAAAAATACTATCTAACTTGCCAGCCAGTAAGGCTATGTAATCAAAGTTTCATATATGCTGCCTCCATATCAAGTGGCTAGTGAGTTGCTGAAATACTTAACTAATCTCATTAAATTTACTTTCAATTGAAATGGAGGAAGAGAGGGGAGAGTGAGAATGTGATCAAAGTTTATTTCAGTTCTCAGTTTGCACAGAGAGAGAGAGAGAGGAGGGGTCTTTCATCTATCCTTCTTTTTTTTCATTTTTTTGTAAATTACACCGGCGAGAAGAAAAAAGAAAGTGTATTTGTACTACTTGTAACCCAAGTAGACTTACTCGGTGATCATTAAATTGATATTTGATTTAACCCAAGTAAACAATTATTCTCGCAAGTTCAAGAGATATTCATGACATAAAACTCAAAAGAAAAGAGAGAGTAAAAGAAAATTTAACAAATTACATGTTTTAATGCAAAAATATGAAATTAGATTAAGTTAATATAAACCTGCTAATAAATTCTAAAGAAATTTTCCCTTTCTTTCTTTACCCCATCTCAACCCTGAGTATCACCATTTGAACTTTATTTTGTTTCCTTTTAACTCTTATGAGAAAAACTGTGAAAAATAATGTAGCAGAGGGAAAAAAATGGTATGTGAAACTTATTAAAGTGAGCACAAAAGTAGAGCTCTTGACCAAACAAACCACCTTAATATAAAGATTTTGAGCTCTCCTCCCAAGATGTAATAAAGGACAATTTACTAAACAAAAAAAAAAATATTTAATAAGAGTTGGCAATGTCAGTTGCTGCCTCAATCTTTTATTATTTATGATTAAATTGAGATTAATTTAAGCTACCCAACAAAAGTAAAAGTATGAAACAGTAAATGTATATTTAAGGTATAAATTATTTATATGGTAGAGAAAGCTTGGGTAGGCTTCATAGGCTTCAAACATAAATAAAAACAACCCAATAAACAAACTAATGCATATGTCTGTGTGTATTTGTGTGTGAACACAATTTTATTTCATTTTTACAGTAGCAGTGGCGGTGGTTAATCATCAAGAGCTCTCTTTTTGATGCAGGCGTGGGTATAAATGAAGGAGCTTTGCAATTAAGCCTTCTTTTTCATTCCCTTTCAAAGAAATACCCATTTGCTATTTCTCTCTCTAAAGCCACTAGTTTTCTTTTTTCTCTCTCTAGCTGTTCTTCAAAAGCTTGTATCTTTTACTTCTTGGGTTTTTCCTTGGACCATTAAACAGTGACAGTACATATCCGTTTGGCTGAGCCGAATCACAGAGAGGGTTTGAACTTTGAACAGAGCCATTAGCCACCAAAATTCAAGGAAATTTTTGCCCTCAGTGAAAAAGCTTCAACATGGTGTACAGTACAGACTACAGAGTACTAAAAGTAGTACAGAGTCTGATATGGGTATCTTCCACTTCCCACTTTTAGTTGGGTCTTTCTCTGTTTCAGAGCTGGGGGTTCTGTTACTCTGTCTAGGGTTTTCGCTGCACAGTTTGAATGAACATTAATGATACTGATATCAATGCTTCTGCTTAATTAACTGCTTCTGAATACTTTTTGAGATCTTTATTGAACTGGGCTTGTGTTTTCCTTGTCATTGGGGACTTCTATAGTGTAATTTGGGAGGACTATCACAAATTCAGTGATAGCTTTGGGAATAGTGGTGGTTATACTTGTTTGGCCTTTTGGTACATAATATTGGTGCTTGGTTTTGTTTCAATTCTCTACAATTTGTGTCTTCAGCTGTTAGCTTGACTTCTAAATGGTAGTCCTTGTTTTTGAGTGCATTAGCTCCTGAAATTGGACACCTTTGCAGTTTTTTTCGTTTTCTTTTTCATTTTTGGTGAGTTTCAGATTTTTGGGGGGTTTGGTTGAAACTTGTTTATGCAGTTATTGCTTCAGGATGAGTTAATAGGTTTCTAAGAATTTATTGCACTTTCTCCTTTTGGGTCTTTGATCTTGCTATTGAGGGATTAGGGCTTTTTATGATAGTTAATTCTTTGGTTTCAATATATTGGGTTATTAACTGATTGGTCAGAGACAACTGTGTGTGAGAGATATCTGGTTCTGGCTACTTTTGTTACTGTTGTCAAAGATAATGGATATGGCTGGGAAGGATAATCTTGGAGCAGAAAAAGGGAATGATGATCCTCTAAACTTCCATTCACCTAATATGTCTTCAGACTGGCAATTTATTGGTGCCAATCTCGCAAATTCGTCGATGGGTTCGATTCCCACTGGCAATCCCATGGCAGCTTCTAAAGGAGATTTATTGGAACCTTCTTCTTGTTCCTCTGCTTCCATGGTGGACTCATTTTGCCCTGCCAATTGGGAACAGACCACCCATTCACAAAACCTAGGTTTCTGTGAAATTAATGTTCAACATGGTCCTAGCACTTCAAACATGTTGGGAATTAGAACAAGTGGTCTGGGCCCTATAAGAACTGGTGCTGAGAGAACAGTTGGTATTGGTTGGACTCCTCCAAATGCAATGTTAAAAGGAGGTCTGTTTTTGCCAACTGCTTCTGGGATGCTTCCTCAGAGCTTATCTCAATTCCCAGCAGATTCAGGGTTCATTGAAAGAGCGGCTAGGTTCTCATGTTTCAGTGCTGGGAACTTTGGTGATATGATGAACCCTTTTAGCATTCCGGAATCTATGAGTCCTTATTCTAGGAGTATGGCTTCAATGCAAGGACCACACAGGGTTTTTTCAGGAGAGGGATCTAAAACAGTATCTGGCGAGCAGTATCAGAAAATTGAGATTAACGTGACTGAAAATCCTAAAGATGTTGAGCATGGTGCTATTGAAGGAAGCCCACTTAAGAATGAGAGAAAAACTGAAAGCTCTATGGGGCCTCATGATGAACCAAAACGGTGTAGTGCTGTGTCAGGTAATGAGTCTGATGAAGCGGAATTTAGTGGTGGTGGTCAAGAGGAGCAATCAATGCTTGAAGGTAGAGGTGGGGAACCTTCCACCAAGAGACTTGGGTCAAAGAAAAGGAAAAGAAGTGGTCAGGTGGAATTTTGTTTGCTATTGTTAGGAATTGCTTTGATTCCTCTAATTTTTCCTTGTTGATTATCGTTCTTCTTTTGTGTCAGGATAATGAGATCGATCAAGTCAAGGGAGCCACACAACAGCCATCAGAAATTCCAAAGGATAATGCTAAAATTCAACAGCAAGGAAATCAAAATCTGGTTTCGGCTTCCAATAGGCCCGGTGGAAAACAAGGAAAACAGGGGATTGAAGCTTCAGATTCACCAAAGGATGAATACATACATGTTAGAGCACGAAGGGGCCAGGCAACAAACAGCCACAGTCTTGCAGAAAGAGTAAGGCCTTTTATGGAAGATTTAAGTTGCACCAAAACATCTTATCTTAGCTTTTGGGTTGGAGTTAATTGATTTTACTAATAGGTGAGAAGGGAAAAGATCAGTGAAAGAATGAAGTTTCTTCAGGACCTTGTACCTGGTTGCAGCAAGGTGGGTTTTTTGGAATCAATGAATCATGGAGTGAAATTATCTTAAATTAAGAATAAGAGCGTGCTTGTGGTGCATTTACTGAGAATTGAATAATGTTTGCAGGTCACTGGCAAGGCAGTTATGCTGGATGAGATCATTAACTATGTGCAATCTCTACAACGGCAAGTTGAGGTATGCTAGTGGTAATCTATTTTCTTTTCTATTCTTACTTTCTCCACCCTAGTCATTCTTAATATTTTGTGTGGTTTTGTTTCCCTTTCGTGTCTCTGAGTGATTTAACGTTGTTTACTTTGTGAAACGCTTTGGTTGGGCTACTTTGAACTGCTGCACATTGTATATAAAATCCGCTTCCAATATCTTGCAGCTATGTTTTTCTAAATGTTTATGTTTTTGAGGAGTTGATGATTAATGTGTACTCATCCTCTTTTCCTCAGTTTCTGTCAATGAAGCTTGCAGCAGTTCATCCACGGCTGGATTTTAACATTGAAGGGCTCCTCACAAAAGATGTAAGAGAGCATGTACAAACATGAACACCACATGTAAATATCCGTTTTGATGCGTGTGTATAATTTTGTCCTTTTTGACCCACCAGTATTGGTTTAACTTCATCACAGGTCCTTCAGTCACGCGCTGGTCCTTCATCACTGGGTTTTCCACCTGATATGACTATGCCTTATAGTTTGTTACATTCATCTCACCCTGGAGTGATCCACACAGTTCTTCCTGGGGTGGGAAACTCTTCAGATGCTCTTCGCAGAACCATTAATTCCCATGTGACAGCCATGAGTGGAGAGTATAAAGAGTCTACTTCTCATGTAAGTTTGCATCAGAATTTATTTCCTTTAGCCCTTGCTTCTTTGTTTCTAGTCATTGTTAGACTTCACTTTTGCTGTTCCTTGTCTACCGTGGTATGCTGACGCTTGCTTATTTTTCCTCTTGAACTAATTTAGTGGCCTGACAATAGTTAAACCTAGACTTGATGGCCAATAAGTTGGATCATCTGTGTTCACTCTGCATGAATTTGTATCTATCTATGTTGTGGGACTGGGGAGTTTATGGGTCAGGCATAATATTGTATTTTTCGTTAAATGACAAATGAACTTTCTAATCAGCCTGCATGAGTCACTTCAATTTGCAGTACGTGATTCATTTTAATGTATCTATCTTTAGGTACCTAATGTGTGGGAGGATGAGCTCCACAATGTTATCCATATGGACTTCAATTCCGGTGCTACCAGTGCTCTGCTCAACGGCCAAGATATAAGAGGTATTGTGAGTTTTCCCACGTGAACTTCTGAAACAGCCAAAGTCTAACCACAGAACTCTTCTACATTTTCAGTGTCTCTGCCACAAGACCAGATGAAAGCTGAACACTGATAGTTGTCTTAGTTTTTGCTAATGCCAAGTTGCTCCTGTGTTGTTGCACCACTGTCTTCGGGGAAACAATTGTCCACTTGTTGTGGCTGCTAGATTGTGCTGTCACCACATTCTTCCTTAAAGTATGTATGCTGTTTGGCACTTAACCAGTTTAGTTTTGAAGCTTGAGGGGTCACTTGTTGCATGGCCAAACCATGAAGGTGTTTCATGTTTATGATTTTGTGGCAGGCTCCTTTTGTATAAAATTATATAATATTCAGCCAGAAATGAGAGGATTTGTGGATTATAGGAGGTAAGCCTCAAAGAAAATGTAAGAGAATCTGAAGTGGAGTGGGATTTGTGAGAAGATAACAGTTGAAACCATGGTGGTGCTCTCCAGTCAAAGGGTGAAGACCCGCAGTTGTATGCATTATGTTGATCAATGAGAATCGAACTTTATTCCTTTTGTTCAGTACATTCTTTGAGTATTAGTTATGGTTTATTTGGTTAGTCGACTATAAAAGCATTCTGGAGAGTCGAAGCTGAAGAAATGTTTGTTCTTTATTATATTCGGGTTGTTGTTAGTTACTAAAATGTTATGTATCATGTATTAATGCACCTCTGTATCAAACATGTTTGACATTTTTCACCAGTGAAAGAGGGGCATATTACACTATATATATTGCATATAATGAATGAAAAGATTTTCTCCTCTAGGACCACTAGAGTCCACCATGGCCAAGTTTTGAACAAGTCATCAGCAGCACAAGTGACATTACAGATCATGGTGAATAGTCTAGTAAACATAAAGTGGTGATTATTATTATTATTATTATTTGCAGCCCTGCTCTTTATAAAAGCCTTGTTGTGGATATGTTGTACATGAATCAGGATCTCTGGTTGGGAAAGTCCAATGGGTATATGGCAGTTGTACAGATAAGAGAATCAGCAATGAGAGATCAGATAAGGATCTCAATCTTAAAGTTGGTGGGGAATTTGAGTGCCAAAGATTATTGGCATTCTCGAAGCTTCAAAATAATAATTTCATCATTCTATTAAGTGGATCATTTCCTACAGTGAGTAAATTTGAGTCGTAAAAGGAATAATCATTATGCACACACAGAAACGAGCATTATTTGCAAATCTTTCTTTCGATTGATGATAAAGAAAGAGAATTTTTAGTTCAATTCTCTACCTTAATGATAGAAATGACAAAAAAAAAAAAAGGATTGATGAAATCCTATTGAATTTAGACTCTCTTTCATTAATCTTTGTTGGCTATTTATCCAAGCAATTTCAATATGTTTAATGAGATTGAAGGAAAAATGAGATCATAGTTATCCAAGTACAATTGCACCAAAACTAAAGAAAGTTCATTTCACCATATTTGATACCCATAACTTGTCACCCCTAAACTCACAATTAGGTTCAGACTCGGTCGCTAATTTTTTTTTTTGATCTTATTTACTCCCCTAATAGCGAACGTTAGCAGCAAGGGGAAAGACATTGAAAAAACTAAACTATACTAAAATAAAGAGGAAAACAATATTTTTGGCAAAACTTTTCTTTCTTCTCCCCCTAAAATAAATAATAATTAGAAAATACAAGAGTCCAAATATTTTTTAGATTTTTTTTTCTTTTTAACTAACAGAGAAAGAACTTAATTACACATTTTTAAGACTATTCCTAAAACTGAATTCCAAAGTACTTGCATAAATTACAACTCTTCCCGCCATGTAACCCTTTGACATTATGTCTTGCGCCTCCAACTACTACTGCTCGTTACTCAAACTCTGCTGTGAAACCCAAAACCAAATCCAAGCCAAAAAGCTTCATTGCCTAATAATCAAAACCATACCAAACCCAGAGACGTTCCTATTGAACAACCTTATCAACGCGTACAGTAAACTAAGCAACTTTACCTATGCACGCAATGTGTTCGATCAAATTCGTCAACCAAATCAGTTCTCATGGAACATCATTCTCTCCGCTTACTCCAAATCAGGGCAGCTCTCGAAAATGCACGAACTCTTTAGTCGGATACCAAGACGAGATGGGGTCTCTTGGAATTCTGTTATTTCAGGGTATGTGTCTCACGGGTCATTTTATAAAGCGTTGGAGGCGTATAACTTGATGTTGAAAGATAGGTCTATGAACTTGAATAGAATTACGTTTTCGACAATGCTTATATTGTCTTCAGATCAGGGTTGTATTGAGTTGGGTTCGCAAATTCATGGACAGATAGTGAAATTTGGGTTTGAGTCATATGTTTTTGTGGGTAGTCCTTTGGTGGATATGTACTCGAAAGCAGGTCTAATTTATGAGGCAAAGCGGGTTTTTGAGGGTTTAGCGGAGAGGAATGTGGTCATGTACAATACGATGATTATGGGTCTTTTGCGTTGTGGGATGATAGAGGAATCGGAGGATTTATTTCATTGTATGCCTGATAAGGATTCGATTTCATGGACCACAATGATTACGGGACTTACGCAAAATGGATTGGAGAGAGGTGCAGTGGATTTGTTTCGGAAAATGAGGTCGGAGGACTTGGCTATTGATCAGTTTACTTTCGGAAGCGTCTTGACTGCTTGTGGTGGTCTTGTGGCATTGAGGGAAGGCAAGCAGATTCATGCTTATGTAATTAGGACAGACCATATGGATAATGTTTTCGTAGGTAGTGCCCTCGTTGATATGTATTCCAAGTGCAGAAGCATTAAGTATGCTGAATCGGTTTTTGAGAGAATGACTCAGAAAAATATTGTATCTTGGACAGCAATGGTGGTGGGCTATGGTCAGAATGGATACAGTGAAGATGCTGTTTGGATCTTTTCCGAAATGCAGAGGAAGGGTATTGACCCAGATGATTTTACACTTGGAAGTGTAATTAGCTCGTGTGCAAATCTGGCAAGCCTTGAGGAGGGTGCACAATTTCATGGTCTTGCATTAGTTTCAGGCTTGATTTCTTTTATCACAGTTTCTAATGCACTTGTAACATTGTATGGTAAATGTGGAAGCATAGAAGAGTCTCATCAATTGTTCAATGAGATGAATATTAGGGATGAAGTCTCATGGACTGCATTGGTTTCAGGCTATGCCCAGTTTGGAAAAGCGAAGGAAACAATTGATTTATTTGAGAAAATGTTGGCCAATGGTCTGCAACCCGATGGAGTTACTTTCATCGGTGTTATATCAGCTTGCAGTAGGGCAGGACTAGTAGAGAAAGGCTATAAATATTTTGAATCCATGGTAGAGGAACATGGAATCATGCCACTTCTGGATCACTATACTTGTATGATTGATCTATTCAGTCGAGCTGGGCAGCTTGAGGAAGCAAAAAATTTCATACATAAAATGCCTTACCGTCCTGATGCAATTGGCTGGGCGACATTGCTGAGCTCTTGTAGAAATCACAGTAACATGGAAATTGGGCAATGGGCAGCAGAATCTCTGCTGGAACTGGAGCCCCAAAACCCTGCAAGCTACATCTTGCTCTCAAGCATGTATGCTGCTAAAGGGAAATGGGATAAGGTGGCTCAATTAAGGAGAGGAATGAGAGATAAGGGTGTAAGAAAGGAGCCTGGATATAGCTGGATTAAATTTAAGAATAAAGTTCACATTTTCTCAGCTGATGACATATCAAGTCCGTATTCCGACAAGATATATGCTGAGCTGGAGATATTGAACTTTAAAATGGTAGAGGAAGGATATGTTCCTGACATGAGTTCTGTTCTGCATGACATTGACGAGTCAGAGAAAATAAAGATGCTCAATCACCACAGTGAGAAGCTTGCTATTGCCTTTGGTTTGATTTTTGTTCCTTCTGGTCTGCCCATACGAGTGGTCAAAAACCTTCGAGTATGTGTGGATTGCCACAATGCAACTAAATTCATATCGAAGATTACAGAGAGAGAGATCCTTGTAAGAGATGCTGTCCGGTTCCATTTGTTCAAAGAGGGAACATGTTCATGTGGAGATTTCTGGTGATGAGTACAGTTAGTGCGTGAAGTTTTATGAGAGCACCATGATACTATCAAATGCATCAGGTGAGTGGCTGAAAGCCAGGATAAAGTGCATTTGGAAGTAGATCCAAACTCTTACGGTTGAAGAAATTGGTCACAACACTTAAGATTAACACTGTTATTAGGTTGAATCTCAAAACTGTGTTTGATCTCAAGAAAATCTTATAGAACTTATATACAAAAGAGAACCGCCTCTAGACATGTTCTATCTCGCTTTGGTACCGCTTTCTATGCTGGTATACTAACTTGGTTACATCAACCAGAATAAAGAACCCATAGAATAAGAGTAATATTGTTTATGAGAGAGGGATTGAAAGGCTATGTCTGGGCTAGCTTGACTGCCTCCATACCAAGGCCCGAGCCCTTGGGGGGAGGTGAGCATCAGGTCTGTTCACGGCTTGGATGCCACTGCTTATAACTTTGGATGTCACTCTTTGCAGACCTCCCATCAGTGGGTAGGATCTTTGCTTAGTATCTCCTCCTTGCCGCATTCTTCTGGTACAAATGGCTAGACTGATAGCTGCGTTCATAAATAATACTTTTGCCTTTCTTCAAGAAAGTAATACAGTTGGTCGAGAAAACTCAGCCCAAAGGTGTTTTATGAAATGAAGGAGCATAAGGACTGGATGGACTGTAGACTGAAGACAGAAAGTGGAGATTGATTGAGGACTGTTTATGGATTGACAAGCTTACGGACTTATTGGACAGATATTTGCTAAACCCAAGAGATATTGAAGATAGAACTATGCGTAGACACTTCTCTGAACTGCCAAGAACCAAACTGATCAGACTTTGGTCGACTCCTGTATGAAAAGGTAAACAGTTATAATCCCTTCCAGCTTTGACAAATCAACAGAAGATCTGACATTTTCCATAGCATAGCAGGCAAAATTTTACAGATCAAGGCACAGCATGTGGAGGAGCTGATTGCCTGAATTAGTCTTTTGGCCCTTTCGGGTAGATGGAATTTCAGTTGAAAGAAAACAGAAGATTATGTACATCTGAAGGGTTGCCTTGTTTGTTCTAACAAAAACATGTTGTAAAATTATTCTTATTTCGTCGAATGAAGGTTAAATCAGCAAAATTTACAGTTTTAAACTTTCAGTGCACGTGTCAATTTTAAAATGTTGGATTCTATGTTCCCTCCACAAATTTGTAACTATTCTATATATTCAATAGCTACATCAAAAATAAAGGAAAACCATATATTTTTGACAGTCTGAACTGATACAAGGGACAAATAAATATCCATTTCAACTGGAGAAAAGAATTATACAACAGGTACTCTGGATATGCTGGAGTTACAAGAAATATCCATTTCATATTCTTGTGATGATCTGATGGGCTCCATATTTTGTTGCTGGTTCTGCACAAAAAATGAGAAAAAAATGTAAATTAAAATAAATATTTCACTGGACAGAAGCTGATGACAGGATTAGAGAAATCTACAAGAACAACCTGCAGCCGAGAACAAATCTCAATGACTTCAGCGAGAGGCGCCCAATCTCCAAAATTCCTTTCTATAAACTGGTATGCTATTCCACTCCTCCCTCTGCCAATTATAAAGAGACCACCTTTTGTTTCACCTTCTCCTTTGAAGTTTTGCTCCGCTCCTGTAGCTTTTGCACGTTTGTAATTTGCAATAGCTCGAGGATTGAACAGAAATCCGGATATGAAC